GTCGATAAACGTTTATAAAATTCCTTTCGAATATCATTTATCATCAAAAGAGAGAGAGATATATATATATATATTTTAAGTATCGCGATAATTCTTTTCCTCGATCGATAAATAAACTTGAAGAGACAATTAATCAATTAATTAATTAATCGGTTAATCGCACGGACAATTATATACGGGAAAGGAACTTTATCGACCAACTATTAAAAACTATTTGCGATTAAAATCGTTTTCCACTTAATCCACCAGTGTCTATGTACTTCTTTCACAATAAATAATTAATCCTTACATTTTGGACGAGTGAAATAGACGTCCAGAATGTACCTCCTTTTTCCTCTTCTTTCTCTTTACGTTTCTTCTTACGTTAAAATCGATTCGATAATCATCGATTAATTATTTATCGTTCACAATTACTCATGTAAAATATAAAATGTTTTACACGTTCTTTTTTTTTTCTTTCTTTTTCTTTTTTTTTTTTTCCCTTTTTTTTTTTCTATTCTTTTGCTTAAACGTAAAAAACTTTAAAACTTAAATTACATTTAAGTTAAGAAATAACAATTAGAAAAATACGTATGCATACGATATTTTTATTGCGACAATAATAAACGAAACGCGTTTACATTACATTACATTTCAACCGCGAAAGATTCACACACGATTTGTCTCTTATCGCGCGGTTTAATCCGTACAGATAATTCAATATTTTTTAAATTAATTAATCAATTAATTAATTAAAAAAAACACATTAGACGATAAACGATTCTTGCTAGAAAAATATATATACAATTCAAATCAAAACGATGTTAAAAAAATATTAATTCGTGTCTTATAGAAAATTATTAATTCGATAACGATGCGATATTTAAAAAAAAGAAAAAAAAAAAAGAGATTTTATCGTTCGACGAAAACAAAACGATTTATTCACAAGTACACTTTTTAAGTGAAAAAAAAAAAAAAATAAGGAACAATTATCTGTCCAGATAAACTTCTAAGTACAAAAATTTTAATTTTTTTTTCTTTTTCTTCCGTTTTTTTTTTTTTTCTTCTTTTTTTATTACCTCTCGTTCGCATTAGCGTTTTTCTTTCCTCTTCTTTTCTTTCTATAGCGAAGAAAAAGAAAGAATCGATTATTCAGTCGTTTCGTTCAGTGAATAGTTATGAATCGTTCTTACTTCGTATACCTACGCTCTATGTCACTCGGGACAATTTATATAATGATGATGATGATGATGATGATGATGATGATGATGATAATGATAATAATAATCATAATGGATTCTAATAAATAAATTTACTTAGGTTGAAGCGCGAAGTGTGAAAAATTTCTACACCA